TCATCGATTCAACTGATTAGACCACCGATTTGATTTGGTCCTGATAACGATAGTTGGGAATTTTTTAAAGGTGTGTTTATTTGTCAAAAAAAAAAACTATAGTTGGGAAAACTTTTTTAGTAATTTTCATGGTGCAGCATACTTGTATAGTATAAGGTTAGCACCTCACATACATGGGCATTGGTCGGCGCTTGATCGGTTCGACCACCGGTTCGGTTCGGCTCGATCTTGATAACTATAGTTGGGACGACCCTTTTCAGTAAGTTTTCATGGTGTGCCTTACTTGTATAGCATATGGTTGGCGCCCAAGACACGTACTGGGACAATCTTTTTCAATAATTTTTCAAGGTGTGCCTTAATTGTAAAGTATAAGGCTGGCACCTTACATACATACATATATTTGATAACAAATTTTTATATTACTTAATAAGAATCTCCTCCAAATTTCAAGTAATTTGAATTGGTAAAAAAAAAATTAAAATTAAAATACAAAATGAAGTTGTGACCATCTCACCTACCTATATTCAATCTAAGCCGTTAGGCTTACACTATTCCATCAACCCAAAAAGTGACATAATCTTTTCCCTAAATATATGCGGTGGAAGATCTCACAAGATGCGAGTAGTGGTAGCCCCCATGTCGGGTACACCTACAAGCCTAAAAAGTGTACGTAGCGAAGGGAGGCGCGCATAGAACACAAGTGTGTAGAAGAAGCAAAGCTCACAGAGATATATAAAAAATAAAGTATGGAGAGAGGGCATATGGCCCTGGTAGATAGAAGACGGGTTTCAAGTCTTTTGGGTTGTCTTGAAGGGAAAACTTTGATAAGGAGATGCATTATAGTCCCATGGGATCATACTGTCCACTTGCTGCACCAAGTGAAAACGCTACTAAGCAATATTTTTTATATGAAATTCCGGGATCTACTTAAGAATTATCAGTTGATTCTTTTCAAAAGAAAAAAAAAAAAATCTAGATTTTGAGTTCTCTAACACTTAGATCTCGTAGTACAATAATTGGATGGTGTACATTTAAATTTAGAATATTATCTTTTTAATCTCATGCGTCTTATTTTATTTATTTATTTATTTATTTATTTATTTATTGGAAGATAATTGCTAGGTTGTAGAGGATATGTCCCCAAATTTGGGTCCTAAAAATACCACCAGGCAGCATTTCTCTAAAGGGAGCAAATAAACAGTATGCTCCCCGGGGCAATGCTATCATTTCAGATTGTGCGAGCCTTTGTGTATGTGTGTGTGAGCACATGCGCGTGCACACACACGAAGATTAAGAAATTTTTTTTACAAATAAAGAATGCTTTGTGCGATAAATTTTTTAAATATTAGTCTTTCTACATCCCATCCTCAAACATATTATAGCCTATTCTCTATCAAATAAACGTGATGATGCATACAATAAACTTTTATCGTTTTTGAGAGACTGCATACAGTAAACCATTTTTTCATCTTATTTAGAGATTTTGCTAAAAAATACTCTTTAAGTGACGACTACTATGGCAAACTATAATACTTTGAAAAAATATCTTTATATCTCATATTTTTAAGTTTTATTTCTTGATAAACCCAATATTTCAAAAGTCATCTTCTAACTCACTTTAAACCTCTTTTTTAACCTAACAAATGTGAGAAAGACGTGCTCTTTCTAAACACAATCATTTTTCTCTATTCACTTATATACCTCAAACTTCACTTTCTCTCTCTTCTTGTGTCTTTCATTCTCTCTCTTCTTGTGTCTCTCATCTTCTCTCTCCTCCCGTATTTCTCCAAACACCTATCTCTTTCTTCTTGATAACCACTCACATCTATGAAGCCCTTCTCTTTCTCTAGAAGTTTGGAATGATGGCTTTTAGAAAAAGAATATCTTTTTAGATTTTTTTTACTTAAAAAAATAGGTCTAAATTAGCTCAAGGGTTGGAAGAAATAAAATCTACAATTTTTATGTCCTAATATATCTTTTAAGACCTTAGGTCTATTGTGAAATGAAACATAAAAATAAAAGGTATAGAGATATTTTCCCTAATACTTTTTACTTTTGACTTTTATGGAACTATGTGCTTTATAGCTCTCAGTGTTTTTTCTTGATTTTTGCCTTTTTCTACTTCGGGATCAAATCTTTGATTGATGGAGATTGTAAATATGTGATTAATTTGGTGGCTTCTACTATGAGGATGTCTAATATTATTAGGAGAGGCAAATAAAAAATATTTATCATTTTCTAAAACTTATTTTATAAATTTTATAAATCATAATATATATGGGGCCCACCATGACTTGTGCGGCCCGCCATAAAACACATGTGAGAATTATGTGGGCCCATTTATCGGTACCAAAAGTGGCACACCCCACCCCATTTTGTGCATATTACTTCCGATTATGTGGCACATCATATCAGGCCACTTAATCATGTTGAATGAGATAGGTAAGTTTTGAAAATTAAATAGAGTTAATTTTCAAATTAAAGCATGTGTAAAAGATTTATGAACGAGATAGAAAAATATGATATATTTTTCATAATAATTTTAATTGATGAGATTAAGTTAATTAAGCTGAAGAATAATGTTCTAATACTTTATTTTTAATCATGATGATTGATTTAAAGATTATCTCTCACCCCATAGCTATCCTATAATTAATGATCTATTTTCCATAAAGATAGCTAACCTTAAGAAATCCCAACCCTATAAATAGTGACCTTAGAAATAGTGTATAATTAAATAAACAGATTATTTTCTCATTCTTTACGCCTCAAAGTGCGTTCTCTCTCCTTAAGTTGGCACGCCAATAAGGGCACGCCCCAATCCTAACATAAGAAAGGGGCGTAAAAAAGGGGCATGTGCTCCATACCATAAGGAAGGGATATGAGATAGAGGGGTGTGCAAAGTCTGGATATGAGGTAGAGGGGTGTACAAAGTCTAGTTGAGGTAATACATCTAGTTCTATGCTTTGCAGTTCCATACTTTGCAGTTTTATGTTTTCTTGTTCTCAAGAGTCTTATGTAATTTTTATCTATCGAATAAACTTATTAGTGACAACAAGTGATAATCTCTTTTGTAATTGATTATCATTTTTTTTTTTAGTTTTAATTGTATTTAGACTTCTATAAGTGTTCAAGCAGGCAAAAAAAAGAAAAATTTAAAACCGCATATACCGTGCTTGTTCACCTTGTCCATCTTTCACTAAAAGCGTGTTACATGCCTAACTCTATTTCTTGATTCTTCTTAATTTTTCATAAAATACCATTAACTTGGATTTTCAAAAGGGTGTGGTTTCTATAAGGTTGCAACCTTAAACAATTCAATTAAGGCACACATTCAAATTTTATTATAACATGTAATTTTGGTGTAAAACATTCTTAGGATTATCTAAAAATCTATTTTTATATTTAATTATAAAATTTTAAAATCTAAAAACAGTTAAAATCAAATAGATCTATAACTATATGAAAATATTGAAAATTGATGGTCTAGATAATGTGTTGTAAGATGCACTATTTATGGGGCTCAAAAAATTTTTTTTATTTTTATTTTTTATATTCATACATCTCGATGGCGCGATGATAAATTAGAGGGTATTTCAACATTAAAACTGCCTTCTCCGATGGATTTTTGAGGTGCATCTATAATTCTACATTTTAAGGTTGCAACTTTATATGAACTTTTTCCTTTTCAAAATCCAAACCAAAACTCTTAGAAATCGATTCAGGAAATATATATATATATATATA